TGGTCAGATTTATTCCTAGGTATATTTTTTAATGCTGTTGTAAAATGGGATTGATTTTTCTGCTTTCTTCTTCAGTGACTTAATTATTGCTGTATAGAAAAATTATGTTTTTTTGTATGTTGATTTTGTGCCCTGCTACTTTGTTGAATTTGTCTATCCGTTGTTGTGTTTTGTTTTGTTTTGTTGTTGGTCTTTTTGAGATCAAGTCTTGCTATGCAGTTCAGGCTGCCCATGGCTCATTTTGTAGCCCAGGCTGGTCTCAAACTCACAGCAGTCCTCCTCTCTCAGCCTCCCAAATGCTGGGATTACAGGAGGGTACCACCACATCTGGCTTATCTATCAGTTGTAAGAGACTTTTAGTGAATCCTTTAGGGTTTTTATAAATATTGAATTGTGTCTCCTGCACACAGGAAAAAAATAATACTTCCCTAGGGAGTAGTCAAAATTAATCAAAGTTGATTATCATTCTTATAAGTGCTTAAGGTTAGATATGGTGTCAAATTGGAGTTAAAAGATACTGAGCCTGAGGCTGTTTCCTGGTGACTTAACTGCTGTATTGCATGTGGTCGCTGGCTTTGCAGGAATAAGCCTGGATTTATGTTCTTGAGGAGCAGAGAGAATTTTGCAAGAAGAACCAGGTGAGTTATAAAGGTAGATCTCCCTTCAGAGCCAGTAATTCCAAGCATGTAAATAGGGCCACCCCAGTCACAGGCCAGTTTTATATGCACAGAGTCACTTAGTCAAAGGACAGGGTAGCTCTGGAGCTGTTGCCAGATTCTATATAAGTCCTTTTTCTGCTTATGTTGTAATTGCTCTTCCCAGTATATAAGAGTGTATCCTTCACTTGTACAGATTTTTAAAATGGTTTCGCTCTTCCCAGTACGTAAGAGAACTATATCCTTCACTTGTACAGATTTTAAAAATGGTTTCATTTACATTAAATGTAGAAATTTATTTTAAAATCAGTACAAGCCTGATTTTTCTTTTCTTTTTTTTTTTTTTTTAAATTTTTATTTATTTATTTATTTATTTTTACCGGTACCGGGGATTGAACTCAAACTGATTTTTCATGTATTGACAAATATTTAACATCGTTGAATGTAATGCGTAAGATAAAAAGCCCAGCCCGGCTTGGTGGTACACTCCTGTAATCCTAGCACTTGGGAGGCTGAGGTAGGAAAATCTTTTGCAAGTTTGAGACCAGCCTGAGCTACAAAGTGAGCCCAAGGCCAGCCTGAACTGCATAGCGAGACCCTGTCTCAAAAAGACACACACAAATACACACAAAAGACAAAAAGCCTATCTCAATCCTAATTTTTAAGGTTCAAAACTAGGAATCCAGGGGCCTAAGGCAGATACTGGAGACCTGGAATGAGACAGGAAAGAAAAGGAGGCTGGCACTGGGCCAGAGAGAGACTAGGACCAGATCAGGATAACTTCATGGACCACACGTGCTCTAGAGTCACAGCTCTGAGCCCAGCTCTGTTCTAGGGAAGCTGTTAGTTATATACCCAGGACCACAATATATTGTCAGTCTCAGAGGAACTGGTAGAGGGAACTTTCTTGCCTGTATTAGGGACCAACCGAGGGCCTTTGCAGTGGGCTACATCCTCAGCCCTTTTTAAATTTTTTTTTATTCTGAGGAAGAGTTTTGCTAAATCTTGAAATTGACCAGACTGGGTTCAAATTCATAATCTTAATGACTCAGCCTCCCAGAGTGCTAGGATTATAAGAATATACCACCACCATACCCAACTATAAATTCTTTTTTTTTTTTTAATCTTTTTGAAACAGTGTTTCACTGTGCAGTTCAGGCTGGCCTTGAACTCACTTTGTAGCCCAGGCTGGCCTCAAACTTGGGGTGATCCTCCTGCCTCCCCAAGTACTGGATACTTGGATAACAGGCATGCACCCCCATGCCAGCCTATAAACTCTTAAAAATTCTTTTATAAGATCTTCCCAAAGACCCCTCTTGTATCTAGAAAAGCTTCAGAAATATGAAAGAAAAACATGATCGTGTCAGGGACTATTTTTGCAGCCTGACTACAGGCCTAATGATTTTCTAGTTATACCACCCAGTTTTCAACAAGCACATTGTGTACCCAGAACCCTAATGACTTCTGCAAACATATTTCATCTGGTAAATGTAAGAATGTTTGTTAAAGTACTGCTGTACATGTCTGAATATGTGAAGTATTTCATGATGTATGTTAAAAAAAATAAAAGGCCTGGTCCTTGTGCTAGCAGTCTCATGTGCTAGTTTCAACAGTGTTTTTTGGAAGCAGCATGTGTGACACATCATCGTTTAGACTGGGAATTTAACGGAGAAGAGAATATGGCAGGAAGCCGGGCGTGGTGGTTCACGCCTGTAATCCCAGCACTTGGGAGGCTGAGGCAGGAGGATCCTTGTGAGTTCGAGACCAGCCTGCACTACAAAGTGAATCCAAGGCCAACCTGAACTGCATAGAGAGACCCTGTCTCAAAAAGATACACACATACACACACACACACATACAAAAGAAAAGAAAGAGAATATGGCAGGAGCACTGAAGGTTTTTCACAACTGGTAGAAACTGAGTTAGACCTTAAAAATATGGATGATGTTTGGAGAAGCAACAGAATTAGGCTCAGAAAATAATTTGAAGGACTGAGGACTTAGCTCAGTGGCATAAGTGCCTGCTTGGCAAGTATGAAGTCGTGAGTTCAATCCCCAGCACCAAAAAAAAAAAAAAAAGAAAGAAAGAAAGAAAGAAAAGAATTTGTTAGTTGTACAAGGGTGAAGGAGGAGGTTGGCCAGCTAAAGGAAGAGGTGAGTGATTAGAGTTGCCCAGGAGGCTCGGCGGTTGTACAATGCAGTCTTCCAGTCCATGGGGAGACATTCTAGGACCACTGGGGATGCCTGGGAACAAGGGCAGGACTGAGCTGTCTGCATACTGTGCTTTCTCCTTGTATGTGAATACCCGTGACAAAGCTTCATTTATACATTATACACAGAAGATTAACAATAACTAAGAATGAAATAATTATAATAGATTGTAATAAAATTATAATAGTGTGGTCTTTCTCTCTTGAAAGAATCTAGACAAATGTACTGTAACAGGAACCCAAGAGGGTGCCATGCAGAGTCCAAGGTGAGGCAGACCCAGCTGTATCTGATGACAGAGGAGTATTAGAAAATTGGAGAGTGATTGTAAATGTTGAAATGCTGGGCTGAGAAGCTCATACTTCCTGCCTATAAAAAATGAAAACTGAGTTTTTTAGGATAATAAATGAGAATAAAGTAGTTGAACACTTGGGCTTTAGAGCTAGATGCGTGTGCATGCATACATATATCGTGTGATAAGGATTGAGACAACATATGCAGTGGTGCATGGGGTATAGTAAGTACTCAGTAAATGATATTTGATGACAACAAGTGTTTCCAAAATCCTAAATAGCTTTAGTGTACAAGATGAATTTTGAGGGAAGAGAGATTGGTAACTGGTTGATTTTCAGTGGTTTTTACTTTAATTGTAAAACTAGTCGACATATTTATAGGTATGAAGTGACAAAGGCGTGAATTGTGGTATGGAATAGGCAGAAGTTGGAACAAAGGAATTTGTATTTCATCCTATGACGTTAATTATATAATGCACTGATATTTTTGTAACAAAGAAAAAATATTGATGAACTGGCACATTGCTTATCACCTAGAATTTTTATTGTACACTGTTATTACTTCTTGTGTATTTTCCCAGTATCACTTCTGTTTAAACTTAAAAAGGAAATTTTAAGTACAATACATTCCTGAAACTTGACATCAAATTCATGTCATATAATTACTTGTCTATATTTTTTCATGTAGTACCTGTATTCCTGCCACCAAGAGCAAGGATATTGCTATAGTTCTTTAAAAATCCTAGGCAGGCATGGTGGTGGCATGACTGTAATCCCAGTACTTGGGAGGCCAAGGCAGGAGGATTGTTGGAAGTTTGAGACCAGCCTGGGCTACAAAGTGAGCTCAAGACCAGCATGAACTGCATACCGAGACACTGTCTCAAAAAGACCAAGAAAAAAAAAATGAAATAAAAAGTTCTTGGCATTTTGTTTTTCCAGCCTTCCACAAGTTTGATGTGGGTGCTTCTTGGTCTTAGCAGAAATTGTCACTGGGAGATTATCAAACAGCAGCCAGTGCTCACAGTGCTCACATTCCTTTCTCAGGTAGCGCTGAGTGATTTACTGTCTGAAAGGCAAGGGTAGATGTGTGTGTCCAGGGATGGGACCTGGTGATGTGTGCAGGAGTGACAACTGTATCCCTTGTGATCTGATTCACAGACATTTTAGAGGATGGTCAAGGTGGGAGAAAGCATCTCAGAGCTGAGAGATCAGAGCATTGAAACACCAGCTTTGTGCTTCTGGAAAGTTTTTCTGGCAAGCTTAGAAAGAAGTGTCATCCCCTTCCCCCTCCGCCACAGTTGTTGGGTTGCAAGTTATTCTGAAGCATTTTTATTAAAAGTCAAAATATTTTTAAAGAATTATGTAGTATGTAAGTTTAGCGAGACACCTGACCTGGGAAATGCAAAACAATGAATGCCATTCCTGGTAGATCTTGAGCATGTGATGGCCTCATTTGTCTTTTGTTTTGAGACAGGGTTTCACTATGTAGCCAAGCTGGCTCAGACTCATTATGTAGTCCAGGGTAGACTCAAACTCACAGTGATCCTTCTGCTTCAGCCTCCCAAGTGCTGGTCATGTTGACTGAGGAAATGTGAATTTAACTGGGGAGAAGTATTGCCATAAAACTTGCTTGCTACCTCTTTCTGCTATTGGTACCTCTAATTCTATCCTTTTTTTCTTTAATTTTGTTTGATGTGATGTCTTCAGGGCCAGAACAGGAGTATTTGCTCTAAGGGCTCTGCAATGGCTCAGGGAGACCTGCCCCACCCACCCCATTGTTGCCTGGCACCAGTCCTCCCCAGTAGTTGGGCAGCTTGTTTACTTCTACCCTTAATTCCCTGCAGGTGCGAAAGTACAAGAGCATGATCCTGGAAGACTTGGAGTCTGCTCTGGCAGAACACGCCCCTGCGCCACAGGAGGTTAACTCAGAGTTGCCACCTCTCACCATCGATGGGATTCCCGTCTCTGTGGACAAAATGACCCAGGTAAGGGGCAGGAAGCCAGGCACAGATGCAGAGGCCAGAGGTTCACTTTTCTAGCCTGGTGCTCAGGAATGTGACAGGGAGGAGGTGCAAACTGGGGAGTGACACAAGGCAGCAGCCCAGAAGAAGTCAGAGCCATGCTAGACAGGTGCTCCCACCTCAGGGTATCGTGCAGGCTCCTCCTGTTGTCTGTTCTTTCTCTCATGAGACCTTTGGGTTGGATCAGGAAACTTTGAGCTTGAGGTTGGTCTGAACAGGATAATGTAACCACTACTCATAATCAAGTAGGACAGGTTTTAGTCTCTTGGGCTGAGCTTCTCCTCTTTCCGTGTAAATTCTGGATACCATCACACTATTGCCAAGTAATGTTGTTCCCCAGGGAATAAGAACACAAAGCTCAGAAGGACGCCATCCCTGAGTCCCTCAGTGCTGCCCTCCTCATCAGAGAAGGGAAGTAAAATGTGCTTAGGCTGGTAATCATGTGCCTCAGTGATTTTGCTGAGGTTGTTCCTTTTATGCTTAAGTAACCGCTTAATCAAATCAACATTTTTATAACATCTTTTGTATCTTATTTCTTTATTAATGTCCTTCTATCTTGCTAAATTCAGTTGTCAGTTTTCTTTCCTTGTCATTATTGGGTCTTTCAGTAGTATTTATCTTAGTCAATTACTGCTTCCTTCTTGAAACATCTTTGCATTTTTATTTATTTATTTATTTATTTATTTATTTATTTATTTATTGCTTTTTTTGAGACAGTGTCTTGCTTTATAGTTCATATTAGCCTTGAAGTTAATATGTAGCTCAGCCTGGCCTCAAACTCACAGTAGTTCTCTTTCATCAGCCTTTGGTGTGCTGGGATTATAGGTGTGTGATACCACACCCAGCTTCCAATATTTCCCTTTCAGTCTCCATGACCCCATGCTCCTGAACATCCTCTTACCTTAATTGGCTGCTGCTTCTCATCCTGTTTTAATGGTTCCCCTTGCTTATTTTACCTGATCACTCTTCAGATGTCACAGAGCCCTGGCTTTAGCTATCTGCTGTGTCCTACATTCCTCTCTGTGTAGTGTCATCTGTGGGCTTCCCATTCTATGTGCTATTGTACCCCAGCTTTGAACTACTAGAATGTCCAGTAGCCAGAATGCTCAGAACAGAACCTTTGGTTGTCTCTGCTTTGCATTCCCACTCTGTTCCTTCCCTTTTGTTCCATGTCATTTGATGCCACCATCATACCTCTGGTTGCTCAGAACAAGAGTAATCCCTATTTCCACCCCCACCCACTTTCACCGGAAGCTGCCTGTTTTTCTCAGCTCTGTCAGCAAGCTCTCCCAGCCTTAGCACCTCTCCTGATGACTTTCAGTAGACCCTCCCTGCCACCCGCTGTGCTCTATTGCAGCCATTCTCCATGTGGCTGTCACAAAGACTTCAGAAATGTGTTGGCCCTCTAATGGCATCCTACTGTTTCTAGAATCAAATCCCTACCATTGGATGCCCTGGATAACCTGGCCTCTTCCAGCCAGGCATTATATGTAGCCTAGAATTATATGTAGCACAATAGTCTACAATTCCAGCACATGGCGCTTGCCTGTAATTCCAGCACATGGCGGGTGAGGCAGGAGGATCACCATGAGTTCAGGCCAGCCTAAATATAGATACACTCTCACAAAACACAAAAACAAAACAGATAATCAGATAATCTGGCCTCTTCCTAATTCATTTCTCCTCCCACCTCAGTCATTGAGCTACAGGCACCATGTCTTTTTCTCAAACATCTCAACTCTATGCTTTTACTCTTACTATTCCCTTGCCTAGAACACAGTTCTCTTGGATCTTGGTATGATTGACTGCATCTTATGCAAAGTTCCTAAGACAGCTATTTGATTTGGTTTGGTTTGGTTTAGTTTGTGAGACAGGGTCTTACTGTGTAGTCCTGGCTGGCCTTGAACTTTCTACTTCAGCCTCCTGAGTACTTGGGCTCATAGGCACATGCCACTATCTCCAGCTCAAGCCTTTCTTGATTATCCTATCTTATGAAGTGTCCTCCTCTCCCAGGTCATTAATTAATACAATCTTAGCATTACTGTCTAGATAGCACTTACCATTACCTGAACTGATCTCATCTATTAACTTTTATACTTGCTTGTGAACTGTACTGCCAGTAGAATTAAACACTGGGACTTGGTTTTTATTCTTGTGCAGTACAACTGCCCAGCACCTAAAGCCACTTACCATCTCAACAATAGTATCTGGTCGATAGATGACCTAAAGATCAAAGCAAAAGTGAATCCAGTGCAACTTTGCCCTGAGCCAGTGTACACTCAGTACAGATAGTGATATTACTGCTTATGAGGAACACTGTTCTTCCTTATTAGATTTGAAGCAGCAACTTCATGTGAAGTAATACTACACTTTATCAATATAAAGATAAGCTGGGTGTGGTGGTGTACACCTGTAATCTCATCATTTGGGAGGCTGAGGCAGGAGGATATTTGAGTTTGAGACTATTGTGCTACATATAATTCTAGGCTAGACTAGATTAATCTTGAATTTTTCCCTCTGCAGTAATAAGGATTAAAGCCACAAACTTTGTATTGAGCTATATCACTTTTTTTTGGACAGAGTATTACTAAATAGCTGAATGCCTGGGAGCTCAAACTTACGATTCCCCTGCCTCAGTCCCCCAGAGTGCTGGGATTACAGGTGTACACCCTTTGTCATCTCTTATGTAGACAGAAATTACACAGAACAGAGCATCTGAACTTCTGTCAGAACTAACTGCCCTATTCACTTAGGAGCACTTTTTTAGGACTTTTTATTTGGCTTTGATTTTGTCTTTTCTGTTTTGTGTCACCATGGTGATTAGACATCTTTATTAGTAAGTAGGATGCTTTACTTGAAAATCTCCAGTTTTTACTGTGATAAATATATCCTGATTCTGATAACCTCTTTTCTCATGGCTCAAAAAAAATAAAATAACTTTAGCAGTGGTGTTGAACCTATGGCATGTGTCCTTCAGCGGACTGTTTGTGTCATTGGAAGCTCTAAAGGTTCACCATCATTTTTTAGTGATAAAATGAAAACTTTAGGCCTCTTTAAGAATAGTGGCTGAGTTGCATGGAATGCTGTACTCACGTAGTCCCAGTACTTGGGAGGCAGTGGCAGGAGGATCATTGCAATTTCATGGCCAGCATAGGCATAGCGAGACCTTGTCTCATTTTTTAAGAAAGAAAAATAAAAAACAAAGCTAAAAAATCAAAACACAAAACCCACCCTAAAACTGGAGCAGGTGGAGATGAAGCTGACTAGTAGAAATTATTATTTATGATAAATTCTGCAACCTCAGAATTAATTTACAAGGAAACAAATTTTTCAGAAATTTTGAAAGTCCAGCTAATAGAGTTTTCTGGAATGCTCTGTACCACAGCTGCATGGTGCGCTAAGTCAGTGTGGGAGGCCCTGGGGTCGTGTTCAGAAGCCGACTGCACATAGTGTGAGGGGCCCCAACTATGCTTTTCCAGGTGACAGCCCACAGTGCCGAGCCTTTGCTGCACTCTGCATTGAAGGAAGCATACCGTTTCCTGAGGAGCCTTACCATAATATATTCCTCATGGAAAATCAGTCTGCTGTTTTTCACACTGGATTTCTCTAGGATTTCTTATTCTTAAAGGTTGTAAATCTTTGTGGGATCTATATTAGAAGAGATCCAAGCAATGATTATAGAAAGTCCTGCCTGGTACTACTGGCTAAAATCGACTCCCCTGTCACTTCTCTCTTCCCCGTGCTCCCTTGAATGTGCTGTTCTCGTGCTCTCTCTGGGGCAGTCTGTTGCTTTACTATTCCCTCAACGTGGTGATGCAATGAGGTAGTAACTCCTCACCACCTTGTGGCGAGCCTTCAGAAACATTTAGTGCAGTGACTGCTTTCATTAAGAGGAAGTTGTTGGTGAGGCTTGACCTGTTTACTTAGAAAACAGTCAGTTAGCAGATTTCATTCTTGGAGGATTTTGTTTTGTTTTGAAAAAGCATAGGTTTGGCCTCTTCTACTTGAGAAGTAGAAAACATTGTGCTAAGTAAAATAAACAAGACACAAGAAAATTACAGTGTGATTCTGCTTACTTGAGGTATCTAGAATGGGCAAGTAATTCATAGAGACAGTAGAATAGAGGTTAGCAGGGACTGGGTGGAGTAGAAATGGGGGAATTAATGTTTTAGTGAGTGTAGAGTTTCTGTTCAAGATGACAAAGAAAAATTTCTGGAAATATTATTGGCAGTGGTCCTACAGTGTAAATGCATTTAATGGCATGGAGTGGTATATTAGAGTAGTTGAGTTTAGTGGTCTTTAAAGTTGGTCACACAATAGAATGTGAGTTTAAAATTCTAGTGACAGGTCACCATGATGATTAGACTTCTCAGGATCTGTGTTAATCTGCTGCTGTGCATAACAATTTCACATCACCCTTTCATACTATGCTGTCAAAATCTAAATGCAAAGCAGGCTTTTCTTATTATCTGAAATTGTCAAAAAGTGGTTATGTATACAATGCCATGCCACATTTTATAAATCATTAGGTTGCCATGACAAGATTAAAATAATGTGTAACAGTATAGGGTGTGTTGAGTTGGAAATAGATTATTTTATTTCATCCTATTTTATTTTCCACTACTGGGGATCAAACCAGGGCTTCATACATTTTAGGCAAGTGATCTTTTACTGAGCCACATCCTCTGTAAGAAATAGAATATTTTGGCTGGGACTAGTGACACGTGTCTATAATCACAGCACTCAGGAGGCTGGGGCAGGAGGATCACCTTGAGTTTAAGGCTACCCTGGACTACATAATGAGTTCAAGGCCAGCATAGAATACATAGTAAGACTCTTCCCCCACAAAAAGAAGTATAAGCCGGGCTTGGTGGTGCATGCGTGTAATCTCAGCACTCAGGAGGCTGAGGCAGAAGGATTATTGCAAGTTCAAGATCAGCCTGGGCTATAAAGTGAACTCAAGTCCAGCCTGAACTGCGAGACCCTATTTCAAAAAGCACCCCCACCCCCCCCAGAAAAAAGAGAGCGAGAGAGAGAGAGAGCGAGAAATAGAGTATTTTAAACAGAAAAATGAGGGTGTATCCAGGTATATTATGGAATCAGAATACTATGGAAATATTTGCAGTTTATATGAATTAATATTCAAAACATACTAATATTTATTCTCCTTCAGATTATTAAGAAAGATAATTTAAACAGTGAAACATTATAATCAGTTCATAGAAAGGAAAAACAAAAACTCAGTAAAGATATATTATATTATTGACTCACTATTAATGGAAATTGAAATAAGACACTGTCTCCCTGATCAGATAAGCCAAAGAAAGAAAGCTCAGTAATTTTTACAAAAGGGAGGTATGTGAAAAAATAGGTATTATCCTGCACTGTTGTTGAGAGTGAGACTGGCAATCTTTCTAGAGGACAGCTTGACAGTATCTGTTGAAATGTTGAATGCACATGCCTTCTATTTAAGCAGCAAATCCACTTGTGCATAAAGTAGCATGCATAAGCACTGTAAGCACACCCACACAAAAAAAATATGAACAACATAAGTGTTTACCAGTAGGGGAATATTAAAATGGAAAATCTTTACTGTAGGTACTAGGCAACTGTTAGACAAAATGTGATGATTATAATTGTACTACCATGAAAAAGTCTCTGTGATAGGCAATATTGCATAGAAAAAGCAAGTTGTAAAACACGTGCAATATGATACAGGTTGTATTTCTCTTTAGTCACACACAACTGTTCCTTTCTAGCATATATTCAGGTAAACACATAGACTCTGAACCATAAGGAAGAACCGTTCATCAGGCTTCTGTGCTGAACAGAGGACTGATGAGGGAGGCTGGACAGCACAGACACCTTTGCCTTCATGTGTACAAGGGGCATTTAGGTAGAAAAAGTACAACTAGGAGAAGCTAACAGAAACTGACCAGTCTGAGACTTGCACAAAGACAGTAGGGCTTTAAAAGCATTTTGACACTTTGACAGGCTAGGGGAGTAGGAAAAAAAGAAACAGACTTTGTGGCCTGAGAGCGTTCTGATGAAGTCTTTAAATGAGCCTTTCAAGTTGACAGACCCAAGTGACCAGCATGGACAAGATGGTAAGACTCCATCAACACCAAGTGACTCCATCTGCTGGCCCTGAAATCATTCCAATTTGCACTTAACTTTTCTCCCAGTTCCTCTTTCTACATTTCCTGTAGAATGTGTTTTTGGGGAAAATGAGATTGAGAGAAGCCAGTGTTTCTGTTGACAGTTGCAGGGAACAATGCTTCTAGTGGGATGGTACCTTCATCATCTCTTTGAACAGAGATTAGTGATATGGGTAAGTCTAGAGAGTGAGCAAATCATTTTGCTTTTGCTTTTTAATGCTTTTTAAATACCTATGTGGGCATAACGGGGTCTGTCAACCTGAAAGTACATAAGTTTAAATGAAGGTTACAGTAACATAATCAAAAATTTCCAGTTTTCCTTTCCTGCCACATTCTTGTTTTCCTGTAGACAATAGAAATCTTTTTTTAATTTTAATTTTACTTAATTAATTTTTTTTTTATCAGTACCAGGATCGAACTCATGACTGCCTGCTTGCAAGGCAGGTGCTTATGCCTCTGAGCTAAATCCCCAGTTCCGGCAATAGAAATCTTAACCTTTCAACATGGTTTGATTTCCACTGCATTCTCTTTAAATGTGTTGTAGATTTGCCTGTCAGTATCTGTGAAGGATTTGTTCCATAATCTCTTGCAGATCCCCAAATCTGTAGTTGTTTAACACCACATGCTGAGGTCGTACTTCATATATCTTGCTGCGGAAAGGCCCTGAATCATGGGTGATACATGCATAACTGTCCCATCTAGCAGCATGGTACAGTCCCATTGCGTGGTAAAAGTTGCCTGATAGGACAGTCATGTCACTGTTGGTTCAAGCCAGTGAGAATGTGTTACGTTCCTTATATTAAATGCCATAGTATTTGCATAAAATGTGCACACATACTCTCATATGCTATAAATCATCTCAACATTGCTTAATAATATCTAATACTGTAATTGCTATTTAAATACTGAGTAAGTTGATATTAGACTTTATTATTTAGATAGTCATAATAAGTCTTTGCATGTTTTTTCTTAAAGGTTTCAAATATTTATTGTTGACCCGTTGGTGCTTATCACATTGTAATCACTAGTATTGAAAAGTATTTTGAGGGGCTGGGGATTTAGCTCAGCGGCATAAGCGCCTGCCTTGCAAGTGTGCCGTCGTGAGTTCGATCCCTGGTACCGATAAAAACAAAAAAGACAAAAAAGAAAAGTATTTTGAGACCTTGTGTGCAATCTGCAGCTTACATGCAATTCCTTAGAGTCCCAGCTTGGTCCTCCTCTAGTGTCTCCTCCAGGAGTTGTACCGATTTTATTACCAGTCTTCATCCGAACCCATTGTGGAATGGGGCGATTCTGCTTTTGCTTCTTGGCCCAGAATTGTTTGATTCTGAAAATCTTGTGAGAAGACATGGTTTGACTCGGAGGCAAGCACACTCCATGGCAGACTGGAGCAGAAGAGGTTTTTTGTTGTTGTTGTTGTTGTTTTTTGTATTGGGGATTGAATTCATGACCTTGACCTTACCAAGCAAGCGCTTGAATTGCTGAACTAAATCCCCCACCCTGTGCATGTTTAATACAGGTGAAATTTTTTTCCTCTGAATATGTTTGATCTGTGGTTGCTTGAATCTATGGATACATAATACAAACATTGTTGGTGGTCTGACTTCATCTTTCTCTGACCTCTTCAGTATCTGTGGAATTGGGAGATACTTGATTTGAAAGTCCTTTAGATGGTAATTGAGCCTAAATGGACAGTCGCCTGCATACCACTGGTGATTCAAGCCAGTGAGTATGTGTTAAGTTCCTTATATAAAATGCCGTAGTATTTGCATAAAATCTACACATATATAGTTTACCTCAAAATAAATCCCTGAACTCAAATTCATGCAAACCAAAGATAAGGAGAATGAGAGAAGTGTTCAGAAATGTTTAAGGATAAAAAAGTTGTTGGGGAAAAAAAAAATTGTTGGGCAGCAAAGAATTAAGTGTAGTAAGAATTATTGTTTCATTTTAGATAGATAAAGTCTTTTGTATGTGGTACATATGCAGTACTGGAGAGCAAACCTGGGTCCTTGCACATGCTAGGCAAGTGCTGTACCACTGAGCTACATCGCTAGCCCATGGATTAGTCTTCTCAGAGTTTTGGAAGATCTTTTATTTTAAAGCTGTGTATGATTTCCACATAACCTTTACCTTTAATTGCCAGTGACATAAGGTTGTTGTCCTTTTCTTTATTGCTTGTGTGCTGGAAAAGTAATATTTTCTACTTTACTAGTTTAGGGTGAGCTTACTGAACAACTGAGGCAATTTAGGCCCAGTCCTAAATCAGAATGAGAGCAGCCAGGAAAGCTTATTTCAGCCCAATTAAAAAAGAGTCTGAGAGGTTAGGCTTTACCTTTGCTGATCCCATTGATTGTCTCCCTGTGGATTAAAGACAAACCTTCCTTAACAAGCACACTGAGAAGCTTTGGTTTCCAAAACTCTCTAGGACCAGTAATTAATCCAAGTGATAATGAGGACACAGTACTGAATTCTGGAAAGGACTCACTTAACACTTTCTCTACTGGACAGCTAATTTCCTTGTAGTAGTTTCTTTGGCCTTAGTATGTATCTGAGACATTCTAAAAATCCTCTGTTGAAAGTTATCTTTTTTAATGAAGTCAAATTGTCTCTATGCATTAAAAGCTTTTTAAAAAAATCTATCCACCAGCTGGGGATTTAGCTCAGCGACATGAACGCCTGCCTTGCAAGCGTGCAGTAACCCCACCACAAAAAAAAAATCTATCCACCAAATGTATAAACTTGAAAAATGAACTACCAGAAAAAAATTTCCATTAACTCTTCTTTTAATACAATGACAAACTTTGTATACTTGGTAATTGAGAGTTTGAAAAGTTAAGATCTGCCTCTGAACTAGAACTTGCACACCAGCAGCTAATTCACTCTAATTCCATTTTTTAGCTTGTTAGATTTTCCCTGAGGAAGTTCCCTCCCCATTATATTGCTTCTGTTTCTCCTGTCTTTCATGTTAGCCCTAGGATCTTCTTTCTGAGAGTGTGAAACATTTCTTATCCAGAGGTTTCTAACAAATTGACAAATTTGACACATTTACTATACTTTCCTTTCTCTACTTATGGTGACACTTGAGTAACGTTTTCTGACGATTTTCATTATTATTTACTTATATGTAGTTGGCATTGCTTCCTTAATGTAAGGATTTGGCCCAGAGGGTCAGTTGGGTTCCTTCTTGGTTCTAGCATTCTTTATTTCTGATTCATATTTATTCATTCTTGTTCTGTCTACCTTTCCCTCTCCCTCTCTCTTCCTTTTCTCTGCCCTCTCTTTATTCTTCTTTATTTTTTCTCTGCCCTCTCTTCTCTCTCTCTCTCTCTCTCTCTGTCTCTCTCATTTTTAAGACAGTCTCACTATGTAATTCAAGCTGGTCTTGAGTTCATGTTGCCCAGACTTAGTCTTGCAGGGATCCTCCTGCCTCAGCCTCTCAAGTGCTAGTATTACAGGTGTGCATCACTACACTTGATTCTCTCTCATTCTCAACCCTGAATTCATTCCTTTCCTGCCTCTGCATCATTCTGCTTTATTCATCTTGAAAAACTAAGAATGACTATATTTGTCACTTGAAAGTTACAGTATCTTCAGTATCAGAAAACCATTTCTAGAAATTAGCTATTTCTTTTGAATGGTACCATTTCTTTGATTTAAGATAAAATATTAACCAGATATGGTAAGTGCCTGCCCATAATCCCAACCCTGTTGAAGTGAGATAGAGACAAAGAATTGCAAGTTCAAACCCTTGTCTAAGCAGTTTAGCAAGACCTTGTCTCAAAATTAAAAACAGAGGGCTGAAGATGTAGCTCAGAGCAAAAAAGAGTTCAGTGTCCAGCTCCATAAAATAAATATGTGTTTAAAAGAAAAAGGAAGATAAAGCCTCACTTACCTTTTTGTCAAATAGTTACAATGTATTGGATTAGAGCTATGTTACTGAATCTTATGCATTTGGAACAGTTATATATTTTTTTTCAGTAGATTAGGTGAATAGCTTGTTACTCCTATAAAATCAGAATTATTAGTTGCCAATTAACTTTAATACATCTGTGTAATAATAATCATTCCAGGTAGATGTGGTAGTGCATGCCTATAATTAATTCTAGCAATCAGAGGCTGAAGCAGGAGGATCATGGTTTCAAGCCCAGCCTGAGCAATTCAGCAAATGATCATAAAATAAATGTCATAATATAAATAAAAAAGATGGAGAATATAATTCAGTGCAAAGGCCCTCGGTTCAATCCCCAGTGCTTGGAGGTATGGGGATAAATAGTCCCCATAAAAGTATATGCAAACGGGCTGGGGATTTAGCTCAGTGGCATAAACACCTGCTTTGCAAGCAGGCAGTTGTGAGTTCGATCCCTAATACTGATTTAAAAAAAACAAAAAAAAAAAACAGTATATGCAAAGAGGGCTAGGGATTTAGCTCAGCGGCATAAGCACCTGCCTTGTAAGCAGGCGGTCGTGAGTTCGATCCCCGGTACCAATAAAAAAAAAAAAAAGTATTTGCAAACTAAGCTTTCAAATTTTATGACAAAAAGCCTGCTGTAGGAGTTGTTGAGAAAAGATGGCCAATGACTGAAGTGAAAATAAAACTGCTGCTAATTCAGTGTAACTATACATCAATAATTGCTATCAGTAACTCTCTCAATTGACCCTGTATGTTTGCCATTATCATTACTGTTTTACAGACGAGAAAATTAAGATTTAAAGAGAGTTCAACTCTGTTGATGTTGATAGAATTGACTCAATAGAAGTAGCCTCTAGCTGGCTGTAATGATGTATGCATATAATCCCAGTTTTCAGAAGGCAGGAGGGTCATAAATTCAAGGTTTTGGCTACATAACAGAATCTTCAAAAAATAAGAATACTGTCTGTATTAAGCCCTTTATATTGGAGAATAGAAAGACACCTCCCAAGAAGGGAGAAATGACTTTGAGATGCACTTTCTTAAAATAACTGGGAAAATGACCTCATGAGTCAGCTGATAGCCAGGGTTTGCAAATGGATACATTTCTATTAGCCTGATGCTTGATGCAGCAGAGTCAACCTATGTAGAGTATATTATATTGTGTCCTGCAGGCAGGAGCCTGTCTGCAAGAGAGGACTTAGAGGGATAAAGTCAGACTTCAGTGTAAATACTGTCAACCAGACCTATCTTTATTGCGTAAATATTACTAATCTGGGTTCATGGTTCCCTATTATGTAACAATTTGTTCTATCTTAAGGTAAAATAATATTCAGTATTTATTGTAATAAGAATTTTAAGAACACTCGATGGTTGGATAAGATCTTCAATTTGAAAGTATTGCCATGTTCCTTTTATGAATCAAGTATTCCTTTCCTTTTTTTATTCTAAATATTCCTTTTAGATAGACAGAAGGGAAGGAAGGAGTGAGCACTGGGTCCTTGAGTCTGTCTCATTTTCTAAACAGCTCCTTTTATGGTTTTGTGCTACAGAGGCAGAGCAGATTGTCCTTGGTGGATGCAGGATACTGCTTCTCTGTGTAGTGGTGTTATAGAACACCAGGTTAAAATAAGAGCAGTAGTCTAAGAGGAGTTCTAAGATTATAACCTAATGAACTGCTTTTCTTGCAAAAATTATTGTCAGTGGTGAAGAGTATTTGTAAAGTAGCTGGCCCAGGCATACACTCAGAACATAGTCACTATACCAGGAAATATAAGAAGAATGACAGTATACTCTGTTTAAAACCTGTTTGGTCTAGATTTGCTTTGAAAAATAATCTAAATGAAGTCTATAATGCACTTAAAATCATAGAAATTTACCTCTATCTTGAGGTAAGTCTCATGAACAATGGCCTAGCTTATTAGAAACGTTCTGGAATAGTACTAAGGGTTTCCCCCCATTTTATTAGGTAGAAAATATCTGACCAGGCAAGGTGGCACACCTGTAATACCAGCATTTGGGAGGCTGAGGCAAGAGGATTACTGTGGGTTTGAGGTCAGCCAAGGCTATATAGTTCAAGGTCAATCTGAACTACATAGTGAGACACTGTCTCAAAAAACAAAGAAAGAAAATATTTTTTATATATTCTGTAATTGTCTCTCTTACTGAATTGTCTAGTTGTTTGCAGCAGTCTTTCTTTCTTTCTTTCCTTTTTTTCGGTCGCAGTTTTCATTTGATTGTCTGGGGTTTGCCAGAAACAGTCATTTCATCTACAACTAATGATAATGTGACCTGCTCTTCACCTCCTATTCCACTCTTCTCTAATTGCATTGGTTACCACATCCAGAGCAGTGTTGACAACACCTTGACCTGGACACCTCTAATACAAGGAAACTATAGAAAGGAAATACACTCTAGGGCCAATAATACCTTTGAAGGCAGAAATCAAACCTGGGGGTATTCTTAATCTTGTGGGAGCAAGTCTACAACATGTAGCTAAAGGCGCCCATTAACAATGTATGTACACTTCTTCATTATCCCTGGAGCTCTAGTAAGCTAAGGAAGACAGCGGGCTGAGAAAGACAATGGGTTCTCAGCTGTCACACTGGGAGTTCTCTGGGACCCAGCAGAAGGACGGTCCTTTTCATATCTTAGAATTTGGTATGGGACATGAATACCCCCCATCTCTTACTTCATCAGTATTTCATGAATACCGATGTCACCCTCTTCCCTTCTAGGCCCAGCTTCGGGCATTTATCCCAGAGATGCTCAAGTACTCTACAGGTCGGGGAAAACCAGGATGGGGGAAAGAAAGCTGCAAGCCCATCTGGTGGCCTGAAGACATCCCGTGGGCAAATGTCCGGAGTGACGTCCGCACAGAAGAGCAGAAGCAGAGGGTGAGGTTCCACTCATCTGTGTCATCTGTTGCTTTTCTATTCTGAATCAGTTGCCTCATCTGTTGCTATTCTATTCTGAATCAGTTGCTTCTTGTACTAAAAAAGACTGAAAATATTTGTGTAACAGTCCAGCTTTTCTCCCAAAATGTTTAATGTTCTCAGTTATAGCCTTTCCCCATCATCACTCCATTACCATAGACAGAAGACCAGGTTAGGCCTATGAATTTGCACTTTGTCTTCCTAGTTGCTTTTTGGAGCAGCTTTAATTTTATAAGAGCTTGTGAAAAACCAAAGGAACTTAAAGTGAAAGTGTTCATCACTTTAAGACTTGAAATATCCTTATTTCTGATTGGTAAGAATCACTGTCCAAAAATATAAATACGGTATTAGAGAGATACATCTACTAAGTGAGTGCTGCTAATAAGTAAACTTTGAAAAGAAAGACTAAACTAGGTAGCATCCTTTACTTTTATGTTTTTATTTGGCTGGAAGTATGTTATATAATTCTTGGCCAGAGTAATCTTCTTTATTGAGAAACTTAAGTTTGACATCAGATTGGAATAGAATATAAAACCCCAAAACTAAGCCAAATGTTGATCAGGAAGGAAAAAATAGGAATCCTTTTTTACTACTTGATTCTCAGTTTCTTTGTGCCAGAATCAGTCTGTGGGAAATAATCCTGAGAGAGTTTATTTGATGTATGGTTTGATTTCATTTGATAAGTAGGCAGTGGGTTATTCCATAGTAGGACTAAGTCTTTGTGACGTAATATGCTTTTCTGGTCTTTTGGTGATAGGTTTCATGGACCCAGGCACTACGGACCATAGTTAAAAACTGTTATAAACAGCATGGGCGGGAAGATCTCTTGTATGCTTTCGAAGATCAGCAAACTCAAACACAAGCCACCACTACCCACAGTATAGCCCATCTTGTCCCATCCCAGACGGTAGTGCAGACCTTTAGCAACCCTGATGGCACCGTCTCACTTATTCAGGTGAGTAAACTTCATGATTTCTGTGGACCATAAACAGGATTCTCACCTCACATTGGAGAAAGCTGTCCTGTATGAGCTTCCTACAGCTCCCTCGTTCCTCACATAAAACTAACTCTTGAACAATTTTGTAAATTACGTGCATTTTAGTTAATTCAAAACTATGAGCAGCTTTTCCGGACATTTTCAAAACACTACTGAGAGGCTAGCTTTGAACTCACCATGTAGCCCAGACTGGCTTCGAACATGTGGTGATCCTTTGTCTCAGCCTCCCAAGTACTGGGATTACAGGTATGTGCTATTATGCCCAACTGCAGCATGCTTTTAAAAAGTTTCTTTTTTACTGTTTCTTTGTCAGTGGCCTGGGAATTACTTCTAGCTCAATGTAGCTGCACATGCCAGTAATCCCAGCATTTGGGAGGCTGAGACAGGAGAACTTCTGCAAGTTTGAGCCAGCCTAGCATACATACAGAGACCCTGTCTCAAACAAACAAACAAAAAAATAAACACACGCAAAGAAAATTTAAATTATGTTTACTGCGATGAAATAAATTTTTTTTTTTTTTGTCTTTTTAAAACAGGGTCTTGGCTGTGCAGTTCAGGCAGGTCTTGAGCTCTCTTTGTAGCCTTGGTTGCCTCCTGCCTCAGCCTCCCGAGTGCTGGGATTACAGGTGTGAGCCACCACGCCCGGCTTAAGATGAAATAATTTCTTGACAGATAAAGAACCTCTAAAGTTTAGGTGGGGATAAGAGTAGGAAATTGGTTGATTGGCTCTTTAGTATTGTTTTGTTGGGTGAAGTAAAATTCTGAAACTTGGGGACTGGGGGTTTAGCTCAGCGGCATAAGTGCCTGCCTTGAAAGCAGGCAGTCATGAGTTCAATCCCCAGTACCGATAAAAAGGAAAAAGACAAAAAAAAAAAAAAAAAATTCTGAAACTTGTGTCAGTGTTCAGTAACTCATTTGACATCACTAGGTGTATCATCTTCTATCTATGCTGAATTTGGTGTTCAGTGACTCTTAGGTTCTGAGTAAGGCAAGGCAGAGACCCATCCCCAGATACTGACCACTTTTCATGATTCTCCTCAGGTTGGTACAGGGGCAACAGTAGCCACACTGGCCGATGCTTCAGAATTGCCAACCACAGTCACTGTGGCGCAGGTGAATTACTCTGCTGTGGCTGATGGAGAGGTAAGAGAAAGTATCCTGCCTCCATCTATTTAAATCCCAAATGAATGAGCAAGGGAGAACTTAGAATCTAGAAGATAAAGATAGCCTTTATATGGGTAGGATTATGTTATTTAAACCTTTTCAACATCACACCATGACAGTTTAGGGAATTATGCCTTCTGTGTGCATTCTAACATTAAAATTCAGGGACCACTGTCGCCAAAATCCAACTAGTAGGAACTTAGTGTTTTACATTTGCAATATAACATTTTGTATAATACACTAGAAAACAGATTTTTGGGCTGGGGAAATAGCTCAGTCACATAAGCTCCTGCCTGGCAAGTGCAAGATCCTGAGTTCAATTCCCAGTACCAAAAAAAAGGAAAAAAGAGAAACCAGGTTATCTATCTAATCCTTTTCTATGAGAAGGATCATGTGAGGGTTGGTATGCAGAAAGTATGCAGTAACCTAAATTATAAAGAAAAAAATGTAGTCTGAAGCAGTTTAAAGTTAATTAGGGACAAGTACAAATTACATAGACATTTAGAATTAAACAATGAAAGATGTTTCTAAAAAAATATGGAGTAATTTGTGTGTGTTAACTTTAAAATGTACCTTAGCTATGTGTGATATTAAAGAGGGAGGATCACTTGAGCTCACAAGTTTAAGATCAGTATGGGTAGCAAGACAAAAATAATTAATTCACTCACTAGTTTTCATTTTTATGACATATTGTTAAATGCAGATAATATGAAAACTTGTTTGTCATCTGATAGGACCAAGAGGTGGTATTAAGTGCATTGAGTGCCAGAAAAACCAAAATAATAGCTGATGATAATGCTATGTGATTTTGCTGGAAGAAATAAAATACCAAACTATAGATACATTAGAGACAGAAACTATTATCAGAACTTATCACACATGTAACAGTTTTGAAATAGCACAAGTCATTTGGGTGGGTTACTTTACTTTATTTTATCTTAATTTATTTTTTGATCCTGGAGATTCAACTAAGGGCCTCAAGCTTACTGGGCAGGTGCTGTGCTGCTGAGCTATAGCCCTGGTGGTGGCTTTTTAAAAAATGAATATCAGTTTAGTTGAAGTATACATAGGCTGAATAACAAATAGGAAAATGTAAATAAAGAAATAATATTCTATCCATGAAGCAAATGCTTGTGGCACCCCAAGCCAGGCACTATAACTATTTAGACACAAGATCATAAAGCCTGCCTTGCCTAGAAGAAGCACACAGGCAAGTGGTGGGGAAAGAAACCTCACAGAGAAGGCAGTAAGCTAAAGGTCTAGCAGCAAGCCCTGGATACTACTGCAGGACCCAGAAAAGAGAGGCCCCAGTCTTGGACTATATGGATGTGGTATTGTCTCAGGAAACACTTCCTGAAGGGAGTAGCACTGAACTCAGGGGACACGAATAGCTAAGAAACCAAACGGTTCAGAGACGGGAGCTGTGTTCTAAGGAAGAGGCAAATTCCATGCACTGAAATGGCCTCGTGCTCTCTCTAACTAATTGGAAGGGCCTCTGTAGTGACTCCCTGAGAAATACTGAGAATTTAATAGACCTCTTCAACTACTACCTCTGTCCATGTGGCTCCTTTTTTGGGACATGGTGACATAGGTAACCACATACTAGCTCCCATCAGTTGGAATTAAAAGCAACAGGAGCTCAAGCAACACAACAAAGATGTTGAAATTCCAAAATAGGAAATGCTAAATAGATGAAAGAACGGAATCTAATTTATCTATCACCTGCTATATTCCCATTCCTATTTCTTCCAGTTTTCTTCCACCATCTACCATCATCTCCATTAATGTTATGCCATATAATTTCAGTTACAGCTGCATTTCTGGTGAAAGGTACCTATGCTGAATTCTTGCCACTGAAGTATGGGGACTTGGGAACTGCGCTGGGCCAAGCAAGCTCAGGAGAGAGCAATAGTGTGACTGCTACAAGTGACGCTGGGTCAGGAAAGAGGAAGACTGCCCCAGTGGCAGTATGTGATGATGCTGCCAGCTTCAGCAGCTGTTTCTGGTTTTTTTGTTTGAGACAAGGTCAGGCTGGCTTTGAGCTCACGGTGAACTCAGGCTGGCTTAGAACTCATGGTGATCCTACTCCTTCGTTTTTTTGTTTTTGAGTGGAATCCCTGGCCATCCAAAAATTGATAGTGTAGCTTGCTGTCAAAAGTGGCATTGTTGGCAACAAAGCTTATTGGAGAAGTGAGCTCATACCTTGGGAATCCAGGGTGTAGGAAGTTCCTGAGTAGATAGATCACTTTGGAGCTCTCAGAACCTCAGCAGAGTGAAAACTTGCTGGCCCTGTCCTATTCTTAGGAAAACCCAAGACATGTACTACGGAAGCTCAATATAATGTCTAGTTCTCCGGAAGGCTTTTGAGAAACATTCTGAGAAGCATTATAATCTTAGGATGATAACAGAACCAAAACAAGAGGTATTTTAAACATCTCTCCAGGAACTTTTGGCACTTTCTTTGGGACACAGTAGTAGGCAGTTGCAAGATAAGCATTCACTGGGCCTGGCATTGTGAAGCAGGGGCAATAGAACCCCAGGAAGCACTACTAACATCCTAAGGGCCAGAAAGGTATCAGACCCAAGCACGTTTATTACTTCCATACATCTGAATAAAAACTGCCCATACTACCTCACCGCATTTTGTTTTTGAGTGGCAATAATTAATCAGGCAATGGTCACTGGGCAAAATGGGTTGAAGTAGCTAGATATGGGTATCTAGAAGTAAGAAATCTGGTGTTTCTCAACCTAGTGTCAAAAAGAGCATTAATATCCAGAGATTTTTTTGGTTTTTTGATTTTTTTTGAGACAGGGTCTCACTATGAAGTTCAGGCTGGTATTTAAATCACAATGTAGCTCAAGGCTGGCCTCAAACTCTCAGCCATCTTACTGTCTCGGCCTCTGAGTTCTGGGACTACAGGCATGTACCACTACACTTGGTGAAATATATGGAGGTATTTTTGATTATCAGACCTACAGAAGTGCCATGACATCTAATAGGTACCCTGTGATATAGAGGACAACACCCCACAATAGTGGTCAGGCCCAAACTGTTAATGGCCTCAGAGTTGAAAAACACTATGCTAGCTGTGACAAAGCTGGCTTCTCATTTACTCTTATTACCAGAAAGTTTAGATTTTTATTTTAGTTTCTTCATAATTCCTCATCCACTAAAAAGAAAGAATTTTTTGCTACACACACACACACACACACACACACACACACACACACTACACATACTTACACCCTATGAATATATAAAACATATGCCTCTGGGTTCAATCCCTAGCACCATCTAAAAATATTTATATTTATATTTATATTTATATTTATATTTATATTTATATTTATATTTATTGGGCTGGAAATGTGGCTCAGTTGTGGAGCTCCTGCCCAACATATGTAAGTCTCTGGTTTTACACCCCTGCACTGGAGGGAAAGAAATTTGCTGAATTTGACAGTTTCCATCAGAAATCAAAATACAAAATAACTGATTTACAGTTCTGCCTTTAGCAGTTTATCCCACAAATAGGTAGATTTACATATGCTGTACAAAGTGGTATGTAAGGATATTTCCACACAGTGTTGTTGGTAATAGCAAAAAACTAAGACATACCTTCGTGCCCATTAAAAATGGCTGGTAAGTCAGTCATGGTGTTTCTATATAATGCAATGCTCTGTAGCAATTATTATGGATCAGGAATGAATGAAACAGTTTCCTGGGTTCTAAAGTGGAATCATTTCAGAGGCATATTATTTGTGGAGTGGAGCAAAATATAAAAGATATGTAGATTTTGCTAACATTTTTATTGTTAAATAAAAGGAATAGAAAGGGGAAAACAAGGCACGTGCATGAACGTGTTTGCATATATAGAGAAAATACCTCTGCAAATACAAGAAAATGGGTAACGGTGGGCAGCGAGGTGAAGTTTGATTTATCATGTCTAACAATGTTTCAAAATACATATACATTGTGGAGTGTCTAAATCAACACATACATTATTTCACATACTTTATTTTTTGCTGCAAAAGCAGTTATATGTATTGTCTATTAAAAATTTAACCTCTTTTTTCGGTACCAAGGATTGAACTCATGACATTGCACTTGCCAGGCAAGCATTTGAGCCTCTAAGCTAAATCCCTGGCCCATAACCTTAATTTTTAATCAATAATACATTAAAAGTATACAGTTGAAAGTTTACTTTCTGTCTCCCATCCACCTCCAAGGAAATATTTTCAGTGGATTTGTGTGTGTGTGGCTCCCAGAATTTCCTTTATTCAAATATAAGCAAATTCAAGTATAGATTCTGCTACTCTCCTTTTTACACAAACTGTAGCATAATATAAATGCTGTCTGTGAACCATATGTCATATTGATATAAAAGTTTGCATTTATTTGGCTAAAAGCATGGCAATTTATTATAAAGATGTAAAAAAAAGATTACTGTTTTTACAATCATAACGCTTGGGGTGGGGATTTAGCACAGCAGCATAAGCGCCTGCCTGGCAAGTGCGCTGTCGTGAGTTCGATCCCTGGTAACAGCCCCCCCTCAAACCCCCCCTCCGATGCATATCTCTTGTGGCTCTGGGTTTTGACTGTCTTGTCCTTTCTACTTCAGGTGGAACAAAACTGGGCTACATTACAGGGAGGTGAGATGACCATCCAGACAACGCAGGCATCAGAGGCCACCCAGGCGGTGGCATCCTTGGCAGAGGCCGCAGTGGCAGCTTCTCAGGAGATGCAGCAGGGAGCCACCGTCACCATGGCGCTCAACAGGTGGAGGCAGGGGCAGGGCAGATGAGGGTCTCGGGTCTGACTTGCAGAGAGGTACTGCTCCTCAGCCTGTCCAGTGGCAGTTGGAATTAATACTCTTCACCTGTAAGATAGTGTAGGTTGATTTATAGTAAGCACTTACAAAGAAAAATTGAACTTTTTTTCTACAGTATTGTTTAGAGAGTGAGCTGCAGAATGGGATACCCCATTGGGGGTGGATTTCAAAATGGAATTGTATTGTTTTCTTCTAAACTCTTTATATTGCTTGTTGATAGGAAAGATTATCCCCATATCATTCTTTGTGACACAATTTTATCTTCAAACAATCCAGGCATTTTGATTATGGTGGAGGGTGGACATTGGAGCTAAGCTTGAAGCCCAGCCCTGTCACTTACTAACTGATGGACCTTGGGCAGTTTATTTGAAGTCTCAATACCCACACTTTCCTTGTCTGTAAAATGGATGCAGTAACTGTACCTGCCTGGCCATGGTACATGTGAGACACTTTGACCAGTGCTTGATGTGCAGTAAGGGCTGCTGTTGTTATGCCTGTTGGGCATTAGTCCCTGAACTCTGACACAAGAAAGCTTGGGAGAGTGTTTCAGCAGATAATCGGTGCTGCTGGAGAAATCATGCTCTTAGTGGAGAGGCTGGTTTCATTCAGTAAAACACCTATCAAACAATATAAGAATGTAATTCCCTACTGAATTGTGTAGTGCAGATTATGAACACTGTACAAGTTGAGAGAGGGAAATCACCTCCCCCAGAATACAGCAACCAGCTGCATTTTATGTGGGTATGCAGATTGGTGTAGATGAAAAGCATTGATGGGTTTATGTGCCAACAGCATACTGTAGGAGACTGTACAGAGTAGGAGTTGAGATGAGGTTTCCAAGGTCACATAAATTCTGTTTGAATCACAGCTCTACCACTTAACTTTTGGTCTTAGAAAACATAATCCCTGACCCAGGATTTCTTTCTTATTATTATAAGAATATACTCATCACCCAGAGATTCAATGAAATGGTGACCATAAAACCCTCATTGTGGTGTCCAGCTCCTATTTAGCACTTAAGGAATTATTGCTATTGTCATTTAAGTTATATTTCAAGATGTATCTATTCATAGTTGATTATATTGAAAAGTGCCAACTGGAATGAGGCAGTTCAGGGATGCCTCATTTTAAAGGCTTGGGAACCAATGTAAGAATGGAGATAAAGTGACTGATTTTGCAGGCTATAGTAACCAGAATTTTGTGATTGATCATCAACAGAAGACTAAAACACAAACACCCCTGTTCTCTAAGAGGTAGCTGAGTTCTTGAGTGACCTGGAATTGAAACTTTGTCTCACTGCTGAACCATGTTACTTTTTGGTAAAGTGAAAGTCATACTCAGTTTATTATGTGTTGGCTCAGTCTTGCTCCTTCCTTTCTTTGAGAGGGAACATCCAGATAAACTTCCTGAAACCATGGTTCAAGTGAAATCTCTCTTTACTCTGGTGACCTCTGGGACTGACTTTGGGTCTAACAGGCCATCATTAAAAACCAGCAAACCTTGAGCCTTCCAGTCAGCACCCTGGGTGTTCCAGTGAGGTGTGAGTGGCCCCGGGAGCCATGTAGATAGTGGAAAATCTGAGGCCCATTCTGACTCCCTTTGCTGAGAGAACCAGGCTTATTTCCCAAGCAGCAAGGGTAATGGTATTCCCTGAGGGCTTGTTAACAAACTCAGATGCAGCTGAGGTGGCTACAGTGTTTACTTCGAAGGAAGGAGAACCTGTTTTACTGTGGGTGAAGGAGGGGTAAAGAGATGTTGAAATCTGTTTGCAATCAAATTGTCCAATGTTACAGTGAGTCTTGGGGGAGCAGTGTGTCACTGTTTCTGCCCATGTTGAGGAGCCAAATCCAGCAGCTGAGACTGGACTAGAGAAACTGTCACCCACAATAAAGACTCAAGGCAAGCCTTTGGTGACAATTTTGCTGTGGATGAGTCACAGTAGACCTTTTTACCCTCTGCCCTTTCAACCTTGCTGTTGAGTTCCTTTTTTAAAGTCATCTTAGTAAAAATACACAGAGAAATCTAGTCTTTGTTCCTGTGGTAACAAAGTGATTATAGCCTGCTACCTGCCAGCCTTCTCTATTTCAGGTGCAGCTGGAACAAGCATGGCTCTCTAGTGACCACCTGCACCTCTGCTGCACTGTAAACAGCAGATGTGGGCAGGACCAGCTCTGTGTGATGGCAGGTGAGGGCTAAGAAGGCAAAGGGACTCCTGAAACCCTTAGAGAGGAAGGGGATCAGGACATATGCAGGACAGACCTGTTTTCCAACTGTGCTCTTACAGAGTTTCAGGCAGCAAATCAGAACAGAGCCTGGGACTCCATGGCCTTAGCCTTCGTTGGCTTTGGAACATCTCAAAAGGCTGAAATAAAAGGAGGTTAATTTTAATTTTCAAAATAGTGTAAATGAGCATTTTAAGAAGAAAGTAAAGAAGGAGTCAAGGTGAACAAATGAATAGTATCACAGCTTTTTTAAAAAGCTGTTTAGCCCAAACAACCAGAGAGGAAAAGAGCTAATACCATTATTTATTTGTTGCCATACAGTGATGAATTTGAAGTTTCACTTGGTTTCCTCTGAGTTTTGGCAATAATGAGGAATGAACCCAGGGCTTTTATACTGGGCTACATCTCCAACCTTTTCTCCCCTGTTTTTGAGAAGATCTCATTAAGTTGCCCAGGCTCTAGGCTTGAACTTGTGTTCTTTCTGCCCCAGAGTGCTGGGATCATAGTCATATGCTACCATGCCTGGCTTCAAAGCTTTAGTTCTTCAGTTTTGCAGTCAGAGATTTGTAATCCCACTTAAACAGGACCTCCCACAAATTCAGTCCTTGAATATGTGCAATACAGCTCTAGTTTGGAAATGACTTTTGTCTAAAAACTATATAGTAACAAATCAAGAACATTTTAATCTCCATTCATTGTCTTTGTGGCATATCATAAAATACCCATTGCATGCCTGAAATCCCAGCGTTCTGAAGAAACTAAGGCAGAAGAATTGTAAGTTTGAGCCTACCCTGGGTGACATTGTGAGATCTTGTCTCAAAATAAAAAAATAATAAAATACTGGGTTCAGTGTAGTCCAGTGTGAAGGCCTTTACTGACCCCACCAAAAAACCTTACCTACCTGTTAGCTTGGTGTCCCCATCAGGCCCCTTATCCCTGGGCATCCCAGACTGATGTAGGTTGTTGCTGATTTTCATTTTACTTCACCCATACCATAGGTATTAAAGAAAATAACTTCTAGATATTTAGAGTTTGATAGATCAATGGACATAGCCAGGTAGAGGTACTTCAAGTCAGGGCCTGACAGCTGCCCTTGCCTGCCTTGCACAGGAAACTGCAAGCATGTTGTCAGGGTCTGTGCTTTTCTCTTTTCCATGAAGTCTCAGTTAGACTAGAAATATTGTCATTAATTCATGATAGCTAGACCCTGTAAAATTGGCTGGTAATGTTATTTATTGACGTAAGTTTCTTAGAAAAACAATTAAAATTAAGGACTTAGGTGCTAAATACAGTATTTATTACTTTGTCTCTATTAAATACTTAGAAAGCACTTTACCCTTAAATTCTATCACAAAAAATATGAAGCACAGCCTATGTAGTAATTCTAGATCAAGACTTCCTGCTGGCTCTGAGTGCCCATTATGAGTAACAGGCAATAACTCCCTCCCAAGAGCATCTCAGCAGAGAGAACAAGCCTAGTTTTTACCTGGCTGCATGTCAAATCTGTGATTTGCTCAGCTTTTTGTTCAACTTCAACTATACTCCAGTATTTTTTTTATTAAGGAGCCAAGTAGATTTGAAATAAATAATCATGACCTTGAAAGGAGTTTAAAAAAAAAAAAAAACAAAACTATTGTTTAGAAGCAGTTGCCATAGGTAGTCAACTTTAACAAAAGAAAAGATCACTTGGCTATAGTGGTGCATGCCTGTATTCCTATCTGCTCCAGAGGCTGAGGCAGAAAGTCACAAGTTTATAACCAGTCTAGACAATTTAGTGAGACCATACCTCAAATTATAAAATAAAAAGGATTAGGGATGTTGCCCAGTACCTGTTGGATTTCATCCCCAGTACAATACAGACAAAGCAGAATGGGAAAAGATCAGCAATTTTGCATTTATGTGTTGAATGGATATCAGGCTATTTACATGAGAAAATATGTTAAGTGTGGGGGAAAAGTCTATAAAAACTACATGTATCAGGCCTGACGCATATATATAATCCCAGTGCTCTGAAAAGCTGAGGCCGGAGAATCACAAAATCAAGCTCAGCCCAGACAATTTAGTAACTTAACAAGACCCTGAATCAGAATAAAAAAGGGTAGGGATGTAGCTCAGTGCCAAAGTCTTATGTTCAATCTCTATTACCAAGGGGGAAAAAAAGAATGTATGTACACAAAGGATAATAATAGATAGTAATTAGAAGCTGCATGAGTGTAAATACATTAATATTGTTAGGATGTCAAAACTGCTAAAAATAGTCTATAGATTCAGTGTAGTTCCTTTAAAATCCCAATGATATTGTTTGCAGAAATGGAGAAACCAATCCTAAAATCCATTTGGAATATCAGTGGGCTATAAATAGCCAAAATAATCTTGAAAAAGAACAAAACTGAAGAACTCTCATTTCTGATTTCAGTACCTATTACAAAGTTACAGTAATCAAAACAGTATGATACTATCCTAAAGACAACCTTATAAACCAGTCAAACAGCATAGAAAGCCTAGAAATAAACTTTCCCATATAGGTAAATGACTGATGATGGTGGTTCCAAGACCATCCAGTAGGGGAAGTGGAATATCCACATGTAAAAGTTTGAACTCTTGCCTAACATGTATAGACATTAAATTCAAAATGGACCAAATTCCTAAGTGTAAAATCTAACACTATAAAACCCTTAAAAAAAATCCCTGACTTACGAACAAGTTCCATTCCAGGAGAATGTTAAATTGATTTCGTTCAGAAGTCCAACAGCTAGGTACACTCCTGTAATCCCAGGATTCAGGAAGCTGAGGCATGAGGATTGTTGCCAGACTGGGCTACAAAATGAACCCAAGGCTGGCCTGAGCTGCATAGTGAAACCCTGTCTCAAAGACAAAAAAAAAAAAGTCCAGCAGAGTGAATCTTACACTATATTACTGTATTTTCACTTTTATTTCCATGGTTATTGCTTTGTGCTTCCCAGCAGTCCCCTACACAGCACCACTGCTTTTCCTCTTGATTTCAGACATTCTGGACTCTGACTGAGCACTGTACTACCGTACACTGTCACACTGTACAATAAACACACTGCAGCACAATGTCCAGTAACAATGTCCAGCAGACACCGTGAACTACTTCCATGATTTGTTCACATCTATGAATGTTCATAATTTGAGGTCCATTCATTCATTATCTGTGAAAGTTCACAACTCAAATGTTCCTAAGTTAGGGACTTACTCTAGTTTGTAGCATCACAGAATCAAGAAAAATGAGTATTTATGCACATTACAAAAGTATATAACAAGGAAAAGAAAAATGGGACACAATGCTAGAATAAGTTTTCCTCTAAACCTCTGGTTAATGTCTTACTATTCTACACAATGTTTGCTTGCCAATGAAGGGAAGTTTATTATTTTTACTGTATTTGTAGAAACAAGAAGTTTAGGCTTATCGTGATGACTTTAAATGATAAGCCTTTATTTTTAGCCCTGCCTGCATATACAGGAAGAGTTGGACTTTTCAAGAGATTTGTCAACTATTACTTTGTATTTGGAGAGAATGAATATAAAGTGTTACCATTTAGTATTAATTGAGTAGTAAATCCAGGTTACTGATTCCTTATATTATCATCCATCCTTGACTTAAAAAGACAGCCTCCGATGGTCTGCTTTTATGTTACAAAGCAAAACCTCATTATTGGCAACCACAGTGGCTTTGCATTGCGAATATAGAATAGAGCTTCCACTATGGCTTGGCACTCAGTTGGTATTGATATTGATGAGAGACTGATGTGAATGCTTTCTGTCCTCAAACACTCATTACCTAGGTTTAAGGAAAGTTTTATAGTAGCTTCATAAATATTTAAAGCCTAAAATTTTTCTGCCTGTTTATTGTTTTTATTTTTAAATTACTCCCAACTTTTAGCACTACTGTAGGCTTGCAGCCCTGGTGCCAGTAAAGAGATCCAAGGAAAGAGTTTTCTTTGCTTCAGTACTATACCTCTGTTCATCTTGCATTCCCTATCTCCTGTCCCTGTACCCACAGTGAAGCTGCTGCCCATGCTGTCGCCACCCTGGCTGAGGCCACCTTACAAGGAGGGGGACAGATCGTCCTGTCTGGGGAAACCGCAGCAGCTGTCGGAGCACTTACTGGAGTCCAAGATGCTAATGGTAAGAGAGCATAAATATTTTATTGAATTTCTTCCCTGTTTCCACTTAAATCTTCCTGGCTTGGCTGGCAACAAACCCTTCAGAAAGAAGTTGAGCCTGGTTGGAATCTTTTCTCATGGTTAGCATTTGATGCCTTGGAAAATTCTAGGGGCCTCTAATTCCTTTCACTAGGAGACTTGAGGTTTCCTGGAGAAAATTCCATACTAATGGCTACCTAACTGAAGATTTTTTCAAAACGTGGTCATTTTTTGTGTGACAAGACTTACCAAGAGGTACTTCAGACTTTGCTGCAGGGCACATTTATCCTTTAACCTCCTGTAAGGCAGGGTAGATCAGCACCTGTGGCTGTAGCAGAGACCATCCTATTGGTGGGTGGAAGGTTTGGACTCCCTTCGGAAAGGCACCACCACATGCCTGTCCCCAGGATCAGGCAGCAGGCTATGCTGAAGGTGCTTTTCTGTTAGGTCCTGTGGGCTCTGCTTCCTGTTGTATGTGGCCTCACTGAGGACATCTGGATTTAGCCAGTAACATGCCACCACCCTGCCCTTCTTTCCCAGCTCTTTGACTTCCTGGATATTGGTGAATATCCCGATAAACAAAAGGGATAAAGTTCATAGAAATATGTTGGCAAAAACTTATAACTCCAACCCAGCTCTTTGGATCCACTTCAGCAGGCTCTTGGAGTCAGTGGCCAAGAACTGGGCTGCCCGGGGAAGTACCTCAGAAGTCTGGGTCACAAAGGAGGACCGTCCCTGATCTGTGAGACTCTGTGTGATTTTTCTTATGTATATAATTAAGCAGGTGCTCTGTAGTTTTGGGAGAATTGTAGCTTTACAATACCAGAAAGTGTATAAATAAAGTAATATACTGTTATTTAGGCCCAGAGTTCCTTGATGGCATTAGTGGCTAAAAGAGATGTTCCTACCCCCCACCCTCTATGGTAGGTCCTGAAAAACTAAATACTCTCCTGATTGGGAAAGTTTGAAGAAAGACACAAAGCTACGCCCTCCTTTGGAAGTAGTAGGAAAGGAAGTTCTCCTGTTCTCTTAGAGAAGAATAACATAGGAAATGCAGAATGATTATGACTTCTGAGGATCATTTTCTTTTTTTAAAAAGCCAAAAAGAGAGAGAGAGAAAGAGAGAATAGAAAAAAAAAAAAAAAAAAAGACCAATACTACAACTACTGCTTTTTCTTTGGGACTATGTAGGTGCTTACTTAGGAACTAACCTAAATAGAGATATACAGGTTAGCCAGACACACCTGAAAGAAACTCCGGCACTTTGGAGACTTAAGCAGAAGGATCATCACTAGTTCAAAAGGCCAGCCTGAATTACATAGCAGGACCCTATCTTAAAAAAAAATAATACTAATAACCACTAAATGGAAATGGAGCTGATCTTAGCCAGAATGCTAAAGGATAAAGGACATCTTCCAGCTATATATATTGAGGATGAAATGGGCCATAGATTGAATTAAAAAATACTTCCCACTATGACTAGAATCCTACCCCTATTTCTGTACTGTTTCCATTCCTCATCTGAGTCCTAATCTAGCCTGAACAGAAGGTAGAATATCTAGCTATGTGACATTCTTTTGAAGTTTTATTGCTGTTACTCCAATGGAACTGCTGAAAGTAATTCTTTTTCTGGGTTTGGTAGGAGACTTTGCTACCCATTCTAATGAAGGACCTGTTCAGGTGAGAGCAGATGCTTTATAGTTCTGGATCCTCCCAGCTTCACCTTTTCAAAATGTATATATTTAGAGCTAAGTTTAAGGACCAGCTGGGTCTCCAACCAAGTAGACCTATTTAGCCATACAGTGAAGTAAAACCACATCTGCTACTATTGATTACTGGGAGCTGCCTCTTTTTCAGTAGTTTCTGAACCAGTCAGTGCTGGATTTCATATTGTTGGCTGCATTTGTGGTAAGAGAAAATTTTGGTCTACATCCTAAAAGTCCATAGTTCCAACTGAGCATGGTGGTACATGCCTGTAGTCCCAGCTACTTGGAAGGCTGAGGTTGGAAGATCATTGACCCACAAATGTAAGATCAGCCTAACAAGACCCCATCTCAGAAAAAAGTCTGTTTGTGCTTCCCTATACTTATTGAACTCAAGCCTTGAAAGTTAAACTTCCCCTTTCTGAGTAGCTTCTGCATCAAAGCAGATTTTGTCTTGTGTATGTCATCCTAGCAACTTTACACCAAGTCCAATCATCTTATCTCCTCTTGGGAAGCCTGAGAGTAAAGCTAATTTTGGAGATGATCCAGATAACACTGATATGCTCCTGTCTCGCTACCGTTTCACCCACAGGGCTACAGGATTTACTGTGGGACTAGTCTGGATTTTCCCATTTAACCAGCTAATTTGGTATCTGGCTAGGATGTAAGGGTTTCTCTTTTCATCATTCTTTCAGGTAGTATCCTGCTGCCCGTGTTCATCAATTATGTAATGACAAACTTAAAGCATTTGCCAGTAAACCAAGTTTGTTTCTATTTTTTGTTGTTTGTTTTTTTAAAATCAGAAACAGTTTCTTGCCAAGAAAAATCAGCAGATGGCAGGATAAGGTCTCAATTGTAGGCATAGAACTAACTTGGAAATGGACACTGTGGATTGTTATTTAATCATATTCTGTGAGGGGGGACAACTGCTTGTGGGGCTCGAGGGGTCACGGTAACCGGTGGTGGTCGCTAGGGCAGCATGGGTATAAAATGGCAGCCTGTAGGTTACTGCTAGAGTATGACGCGTGTGTGTAGAGGTTTGCTTGCTGGGTTTTTGTCAGACCTGACAGAACAATGCACTTGTCGCCATGTAACCTGAAGGCATATCCTTTGGTCTGACACTGATTTTCCCCCATGTACTACTACTGGAACTACTCAAGCACTGGCATTACTTTATTTTGTTTGTGTTTTCAGTCTTTTTCAGTAGACGTAAATGAATCTTTGGTATCTTAAGATGGGGTTTCATGGCTTAGTTTGGTTTAATTCAAAGATTTTCACAGATGTCTTTTCATTGAGATAGAGGTAGACTTGTTGAGATGGAGGCTGGGAAAGATCACTGAAAGAGTTCCTTTCTGTACTTCATCTCTAAAAAATATGCTTACCTTTGCTGGGCATGGCTATATATGCCTGAAATCCTAACACTCGGCAGGTTGAGACAGGATGATCACTATTAAGTTTGGGGCCAATCTGAGCTACATAGTGAGTTCAAGGCCAGCCTGAACTACATAGTTTCTTTCTCATTATTTTGGAAAACTTTTTCATGTATTAAGGATATAACCCCTTTATTTTGCATGTTATAAATAGTTTTCCTCTGTTTATTTCACTGCTTTGACCTTCATTTTTATTTTCCTAATTATTTGTCTATTGTTTGTATCATGTATTTTCTTTAAAAAGCTTGAAATCCCTCCTTTCTATACTTATTTGAAATATATGCAAAATTCTTTCTTTCTTTTTGACCAGTACCAAGGATCAAGCTCATGACTGCCTGCTTGCAAGGCAGGTGCTTATGCCACTGAGCTAAATCCCCAGCCCCTAAAATTCTTAAATAGGGTGTGTAAAATTTTGTGGGGAGCACTTCTATTTCCATTTATGTTTGCCTTGTTCTTTGTACCAAAATCTGTTATCATCATGATATTAGCAATTAGTGAAAAGCTCATCTTTATATTTAGAGGAAAAATGATCGTTCAGAATTCCAAAATGTTCTGGAGGAGTAAACATTACACTACCTTGGACCTTATTTTCATCATTCTTATACTCAGGAGTTTTTTAGTGGCACCACCTGTGCTGTTGTAGCTAAGATCTGGGGTCTCAACCTTCTGACCTTGAGCCCTGGATGAAGGGAAATGGACTTCAGGGCTATTTAAAAATTAAAGCCAATGAAGAGGCATTAATACTACACTTACAGAAGGAGCAGCTCTTCTCATTTATCTTCAGGGCTGCAGGTCTTTCTTTGTTAAGGCCTAACCCAGCTGAGAGTTAGGATTCTTCAATGTAAAATTTCCCACAACCAAGAGCAAGACAGTTAGACAGAGAGACCCCACTGAGTCTTGCTGTAATGACCACCCCACTAACAAGTCAAAATATCAATGTAAAAAAAATCCCTTAGGAAAATAATACCCTATCTTCTCTTAACATGAATATCTTTTTTTCCTATCCTTGTTTGTCTTTGGCCTTATTAAAAGCTTTAAACCATATGTGTTTCTCCAGCTGAATTCGATCTCAACTATGCTTGATGGAATACCTTTTTAAAAATTTGTCTTTTAGTGAGTATGGTGCTTCATGCTTGTAATTCCAGCATTAAGGAGACTAAGACAAGAAGACTGAGAGTTCAAGGCCAAAATGGATTACACAGCAAGACCCTGTCTCAAAAAAAACCACGCCTGTAGTCCCAGCACTTGCAAGGTTGAGGATGGAGGATCACCATGAATTGGAGGACAGCCTGGGCTATGTAGTAATACTGTTTAAAAAAAAAGAAAGAAAGAAAGAAAAATTGATCTTTCTAGCAAGAGGAGTAGCAAAAGAGATGGTTTAGACAAACATAAAGCCTACAGAAGAGAGTAGCATTCTTGGGCAGGGTCCCCATGTGAGAAATTAGACCCTGTACAATACTCCAGTTCTGAGTCCCCCACTCCCAGTGAGAGAGAATGGCTATAAGGCCAGCTTGCATTTTGCAACAGGGTGAGCCAGCTGAACCCAAAGAAAGTAATATGTGAGTGTTTTGATTTTCCATGAACAACTCCTTTATCCTTACATTATAAGGATATTAAGGCATCCTTAACCTGAATGTCTGCAAACACCGAGATATTCTATACAAAATTATTTGTATTTTCCTGGAATCTGTGGCTTAATTAGACCAAAACTACTCTAGAGACTTAACAATATCTGATATAGAAAGGGGGTTGGAAGAGATAAGGCCCAGTAGGAGACCATGTGCTTTGCATGAACCAGGTTCTGGGCTCCATCTCCACAATCAGGGGAAAAAGTAGTGAAGGTCGCTTGACATTGTGGGTATCTGTTCTTTGTGGCTGGCTTTCTTTTGCCTTGAGAGGAGGAGTAGAGGGAAGGGTAAGGGAGATAGAGGGGCCTGCAGGAGCTTGATTGTCCTCCCACTGCACCTCTTAACCTCTGGGATCATGGACAGACAGATTAACCTCTCTAAGCCTTAGCTATAAAATTAGAATAATGGTAGTCCATACTCATAGGGTATGAGGGTCACTGAACAAGATGGTTCCAGTCAAGGGCTTAGCATAGTGTCAGACATGTAGAAGTGTTGTGAACAGGAAATTCTCACTAGCTGTAACTGTCAGTCCTAGTCCATTGTTCTTCATAGTAGGAGCATAGGAGTTCACAGTACTGTTGTAGGCCCTATTTTCCGACCTTTCAGACCGCTCCATCTGCTTACTTTTGTAGCTGAAGGATATAGGCTCCAGAGGTAGCGGCTATAAAAAATGAGAGTAGGGAGCCAGACATGGTCATGCCTGCCTGTAGTCCCAGCACTTGAGAGGTAGGAGGATTGCTTAGAGTTTGAGGACAGCCTGGGTTATGTAAGTGAGGGCCAGCCTGAGCAACACATAGCAGGACTCTGTTTCAAAAAAAACAAACAGGTCCAGGGATTTAGCTCAGCAGTGTAAGCTCCTGCCTGGCAAGCATGAAGTCGTGAGTTCAATCCCTAGTATCAAAAAAAAAAAAAAAAGCGGGAGAGAGAGAGAGAGACCAAAAAAAAAAAAAAAAATTTTTTTTTAAATGATACTAAGTCAGA